AATACAAGGTGGGTTACGTAGAGATCTTTTGCTGGCTTTCTTTTTAGAATAGATTTAATTGATAGGTTTTGAAAAATTATGAGAATATATTGTACTTTAAACTATATAAAAAATCAAAAAAATTTTTTTATTAAATTGGCTAAGCCACAATGTCGATCATCCAAATTTGGGTTTGTTCACTATGCTTCAATCTAAACCCAAGCCCAGCCTGGCTCACAAATTCTGAGTTTGGCCCAGCCTATTCTGTACTCTAATTGTGAGGAAATTGGTTTAGCAATCATATACACAAAGATGATACATACTAATATAAAAAATAGAGCTTCGATCCTATTTTTAGGAGCCGTTTGAATTAAATTTGGATCTTAGTTAGTATATCTGGATTGTAATTCGAATTTGAGTAAATCTGAATTAAAATAACAATCCGAATTGCCCTTAACCCACTATTCCATTTCACTTAAAAACAAGATATAAATAGAATACTAACCCATTTGATCAATTTAAATTCAACAATTTATTATCCAGAATTTTCTTGCCCCATCCTCTGCTTTGCTCAAAATGAGTTTCAAGAAGAAATATAAACAAGAAATTCCAAATTACCACCATCATTCAATCAATTAGAATAAGATGTGAAGCAGTGCTTCATAGCCAATAAATTTTATTTTCCTAGTTGTTAAACGATCTTTAATAGATAAATAAATTAAAGCATAATGTAAGATTAATACAAATTCATAAGATTCGTATATTTACTAAATCGACTCAATATCAGATTAAGATTCGAATAATCCTTATTCTCAATCTGAAATACATTTCAGATTTATCCGTCTAAAATTGACAGATAAAGATATCCGCATTTAATCTGAATTATCAGATCAATCTGAATTAATCAGATTATAGATCGAAGCACTAATAAAAAGTCAAGCTACTAACCATACTTGGTAAACATATCTTACACTACATTATCAAATACAGAAAAACCAGTACACTGCATGAACATATATAGCAAAGTAGACTAGTCAAAATTAAGTAGGGGTATAAAAAAACTATACATACGTATATACGTATAATGAAAATTATTTCTACTAACTGATTATGTTATATTATAATTTAGAAATGATCAGCAAATTCTTTGCTATCATCTCGCTATAATCTTTGAAGATCAGTAATTATCAATCCATCAAACTGGCAAAAATTCAGAAGAAAAAAAATCAAAAAGATTAAAAATATTGAAATAAGTACATATTAATCTTAGTTGAAATCAGCATATAATGTCAAATAGAGTCTTTTTACCTATCGTTATAATATCATGTTAGTGATTACAGATTTTGCAATTGCAAAATTGCAATTAGAAAATATATTTGAATTGTTTTTCAGTAATACTATAGTGGCCATGGCTATGGTCTTGGCTATAGCTATAGCTACTAGCATATAGAATATAATAATGACGGATGAGAATTTCCTTTCTTGGAATTGCGAGGAAATTTTGTTTGTCGATCGATCATTTGTGAGAAAATTTATTTGTTGATCGATGCATTGCCCACAACACAAATCATAAAATGCAAGACACATATAGTAAGTATTATAGTGTCATACATCCACATATAGAAATAATCATCTGGCCAAAATTAAAAAGTATTAATAAGCAAAGACAGAATAGCTAAATAGTTTAAACAAATCAAAAAAGTAATACTAATAAATAAATAAATAAAAGCATAATACAAAGCAGAAGGCAGCAATAGATAGATTCTAAAAACATATTTAACAAGATTATCTATAAACAATCAGACTAAAGATTGGATAATAGTAAATATAATAATAATTAAAAAAACCTAAAACAAATAATCTCAAGAGTAGTCTTAAAAATAGTAAAAAAAATGTTATTAAAATATTAAAAATATTAAATATATATAATACAGAAAATCTTATATTAGTAAAGTATTCAGATTGTAAATTTAACCAAAACAAAGTATTTCAAAGCTATGAGAAATTATAAAATTCAAGATTTTTTATCTGCATTTATCAAAAGAAAAATGAATAAATAAAGACTAAAAATTCTAGTAAATTCGATTAAACTTTACTATAGAGAAAAAAAGCAAGAATTTTTAAAGAAGAATCACAAAATATAAATATTATAAGCTATGATCTGGATACAGAAATGATTCAAAATCAAGATATATCTCCAAAGCTCAAAGAAAGGTTAATAAAATAGAATTAGAACAATCAATTACTTTTATGAAAAAATCGACTTTTTATATTGATAGGTTATTATATCAAGCAAGAAATAAACAAAGGCTTTGATTTTATAGAGATAGAAATATTATAAACAAATTAAGATGAACAGAAGATAATTAAAGAAATTAAAAACTGACTATTATTAATCAAGCCAGAATTGATAGCAATTTAACTAGCTATTTTAGTAAAAAAGCTAAGATTTATATAGAAAGTGTGATAGTAATTGTAAGTATTGAAAGAGAAACAATTATAATTTATTATAAAATATTATAGAACTAGTTAAGGTAAAAGAGATCTAATTAGAGTTAGTTAAACTAAAGATTATATAATAATAGATAGAATAATAAAGCAAATAAATAGTTAAACAAGATACTTTGGTAGATAATAAAGATAGAATTATCTTTAACCTTCTATTTAAATCAAATACTTTATTTTATTAGAATAAAATACTTATTAAATATTTAGCAACTAAAATGATTCTGAATTTCAAAATAGATGCAGATTAAAAAAATCAAAATCAATTTAAAAAATAGAGCTAGAAAAAAGTCTCAAAATAAATAAATAGATATATTTGTTGAAAAAAATTAAAAGAAACAATGGAGTTAGATGCATATTAATGCAAAAAGATAAATATTTTAAAACTTTAGTCAAATATACTAATAAGATGCTTTTTGTACTTGAAGTGTTATCATAAAGATACCAGAAATATATCAAGATATTAATTATATTATATATAAAAAAACCAAATCTACCTAATATACTGTAAAAAAACAAGAAAATAATTAGAAGATTACAGAAAAATTTGCAGTAAACTTAGTATAAACAGCTCTTCTGAAGGAAGCCAGAAAAAATAAAGATTTTTTAAAAAGAACTCTCTGAAGAATGTTAAAAAAATCTTTTGAAGCAAGATTAAAAACAATCAAAGATCTAATTCAAAAAGATGCAACAAAAAAATTTAAAAATCTTTATAATCAAGCAAAGAAACAAAAACTTATATTAAACTTACTCTGAACACAATATAGAACTACTATATAAAAGAAGTAAACTACTAAAAGATAGAAAGTTAACAGAAATATCTCAACTAGAGATAAATAAGGAATCAAGTCATCAGAAAAAAAAGAAAAAGAAAATTCAAATCTAGGTATAGACAAGTTAGAATCAAAAATAAAAGAATCAAAGATTAGTAATAATAAGAAGAAAATGATTAAAAATCAAAAAAAGATAAAAAAAAGAAGGGTTTAAAAAATATAAAAAATAAATGATATAATTTTAGAAATTTAGTTCAAAATAGTTGCAGACCCTTTTGGTATAGTTTGCATGACACCTGGTATTAGCCTTCTGGTTCTGAAAGAAACTTTCAAACCATTTTAACAGACTGCTTCTGGGCACCCACAAGATAGCCAGAGATGTCAGGCCTAGATATTAAGCTCAACATTATGTGATTTATTTATATAATAATCTTAATAAAAGATCACCAGCAAGGTTGCCAAAGATTAAAAAAAAAAAAACAAAAAAGACAACAAAATTATGATAAAAATTATATGAAGTCTAGCACCATTGGTGCGATTTACAATAATTGATATTAAAAACTTGTAGTTAGAAATTATTTATAATTACTGTTACTATAAGATTACACAAAGATAACTTTTTTTATTTTGCATTATTCACCAACCCAAATTTTTCAAGTTTTAAATTGTTTTTAGTATTAACAATTTGTTTTAAAACAAAAATAATAATATACATGTCAGATACGCATTTACATACGCACGTATACATATACGTATATACATACATGCGTATGTAAATAATTATTGTGGCGGCTGAAGCTGAGATTGGGTCTCTATTTAAATCAAACATACCTAATAAAATTCACTTGTACAATTTTATTAATAAAACTACCCCAAAAACCCTAACCTAACTCTAAAAAAAAGCGGACAAAAAAGGTCTCAAAAATTTTTAAAGTTTAATATTAAAATATTTCCAAGCCTCAGCTTCAGCTGACACAATTATTAATAACTAAATTAAAGTATCTGCTTCTTCGAACAGTTACACCACATTAGCTGAAAAAATTTAGGTGGTGAATTTACCCATGGTGGGCATGGTCGTTATTTTAAGTTATTGTACAATTAAGCTTAATTTAAACAAATTTCAAATTTACTCTTCTGTTCATTATTCCGAAAATTTACGGTATCTGGTAAGTTATCGATAGGTTTGTGACTTACAATCCCTATAAGAAATCACAGCATGGGAGCACAGAATTTTACACACTAAATTGCACGTAAATATATATGGGAAAATGCACTGAACAGCACGTCTAAAACACATGAAATGCGCATTTTTACGTGTTTTCACGTATCTGGTATACTTTAATGTGTAATAACGTATTTTTACATGCTTTCCGAATATATATATATATTTTTACTATTATGTATGACTACGTGTTTAAATTTTTTCATTTTTTCTTCGATAATTAATTTCCGTGCAGGGATTGAATTACGTATTTCTTCTGTGCCAGATTCTATAGTAATATGTGCATTTCCGTGTACTGATATCTTATAGGGCATACACTACAGTAAATTAAAAAATTTCTGTAGCCGAAAAAATCTAATTTCCGATTGGTCGACGTAATCATACATCATGAACTTTTTACTATAAAATAACTAGGTAAGAAACTACATGAAACTACATGAACTTACACGATTTTACATAGTTTCTTATGAATATTTTATGCATTCTACGGACCTTCGATAACAGCGTGTAAAACAAGCATAAATTTATATAAATAAATAACTTTACAGTTACATAAATTTATATTGATCCATTACATAAAATTATTATCATTTCTATGATATTACGTAAATATGCATTTGAATTTACGGCATAGCATTAACACTAAGGATGCATCTACATTACTACGCACATGTGATAAGAATAAAATTGCAACTAAAGTTTTAATATTACCTAATATTTATTTGAATGATTTTTAATTATGCTATTTAATATTACGTTTCACTTTCGTCGTTTATAGGTTTTGAACACAAGAATTAAAGATATAAATATTAATAGGATGATATTAAAGAAAATACAATTTACCATAGAATTTTTCGGTCGATTGTGTTTGTTCAGTTATTGAGTTGTTATCTTAAAATTTTAATGAAATGTTAGTAAATGACTATCATGTAAGTATAGATCTAAAACTAAATAAAAAGATTATAATACCTTCAGAATTAATAGCTGTAAAGTCACCATTTGGCAAGATTTTAGTCATTCCTTCCAACAATTTGTGCACATATTCAATATCTGGTCGTTTATGTCGATCTGCATCCCAGCATTTGCTATAAAGATTCTTATATTCTTCAGGAGTTCCGGAAATCATATTTTCTCTATCACCTCGAACAATACTGATCGATAAACAAATATAATTTGGATGATTTTCGAACGGTGGACGGCCACTAGATAATTCCCAAAATATCATGCCAAGGCTATAAATATCTGTTTTCTCGCAATATGATATTTTATTTGAAGTGTGTTGTTCAAGTAATTCAGGAGCTAAAAATGGAATCATTCCAAAAAGCTCATTGTGTATATTTGTCTGTGTATTAATGCTTGTAGCATTTCCAAAATCAGTTATTTTTGCTTTTCTATCATGGATAACAATGTTTTTATCATGCTATCAAAATTTTTTGTTAGTCAAGAGACTTAAGTTTAAATAATAGCAGTATACTAATCGGTCCGGGTCAACCTGAAGCCTTCAAGTCGGGTTAGAGTAAATTATGAAATAAATAAATGTGATTAAATAAACACTGTTTTTTTTTAGTTACACTTCATTGCTCTAAAGCCAAATGAAGAAATGTCGAAGGTTTGGAATTTCAAGTTTTGAATTAAGTTCAGGTCTAATTGAAGATTTAACCCTAGAGTTTTAAATCTGACCCGAACTCGACCCGTTCAGCGCATGAATATATTGAAGACTACCTTACCAAGTCTCTGTGAATAATTCCTTCACTATGCAAATAACATAATCCTTTTGTAATTTGACAGGCCAGCTCTAATCTTTGATCCCAATTCAATGAATGATTATTTACTTTGAGAAACTTCCGTAAATTCCCATCATTTGCGTATTCCATGATAAGGAAATATCGGTCATTAACAGTATCTATGTATAATATAATTAATCAATTTAAATATACAACTAAATAATTGGCAAACAGAAATACCTTCAGTGACTCCTAACAATCGAACGATGTTTTCACAAAGATCTGACCTAGTATGCATTGTTAATTCATGTATAAACGCAGTGCCGTTTATATCTTTCAGATTTATTAATGCTTTACAAACAACATTACTATGCGTCCTTGTCCAATAAGCCTTGCTTACTAATCCTAAACCGTATCAAACGAAACAAAATAAATATTTATTATTAGTAATTTATAATGCTCAAATACTAATAAGCTTGACGTACCATAATGGCCTTCATCGAGTTTTGAAAAGTTGCTTAGTTCATTCCATGGTATGGTCTTTATTAATTTTGTCTTAATTTCATTTCCTAAATATTCAAAATTTGAATACTATGCAATAATTAAATATTATTTGAAGCCAAAATTAAAGAAATATTAAATTACCAAAATTTTCATTTTCTAGTTTACTATTAAATTATTTTGAAGAATGGTTTAAAAAACATATAATTGAAATATACGCAATCAAAATAAACCAATTATAAAATGTATAAAAAAACTTTTATTAGTCGAGTGATTATCATAAATTTTCAAAATAGCGGGCATGGACGTCATTTTTAGTTTGGGCCCGGATTAAGTTTAATTCATCCCAAATTTTGTAATTTTATCCCTGGGCGTTATTTTCGAGAATTTACGATAGTACTATCTGTAACATACCTTAGCAATCTCGATGAGTTAGATTATATATTTGAAGCATTAATATATCGGTTTAGTGTATCAAGTGAATTCTTCCCAGAAAGTTCATTTAACTTTGTTTTGACATAATTAATATTTGGCCTCATGTTAGGATCATTATCCCAGCACTTTATGTAAAGCTCAGAGTACTCTTTTGGAGTGTCTTTCACAGGTTCTTCTTTTTTTCCCATGGTTATTAGAAAAGTTAACGCATGTTCGTTTGAAATGTGACTATACGGTCTTCGGTTACTTGAAATTTCCCATAAAATAACACCCAAACTGTAGATGTCGATTTTTTTATCACAGTCATAATATTCTATGGGATCAAAACATTTAGGGTCCATATATGCAACTTCACCGAAAAATCCGTTGGTTGAAGTAAATGATGTTTCATCGAACTTTTTAGCTAGGCCAAAACCCGAGATTTTAATTTTTCCTTCATGGACCAAAATATTTTTAGGATGCTAATTAATAATAAATGTGAGATTAGGTATACAGTATATGTATTTAGAATAATTGGAATAATTATATATATATATATATATACAAGATTGCAATGAGCAACGTCAATGGTGTGTAGGAAAGCAAGGCCCAAAGCTATCTCCTTAGCAATGCGGAATTTATCAGCCCATTGTAGTTTTGGAAAATTTTCATTTAAATAACTCTGTATGTTTTCTGCGGCCAATTGCATGACTATATAGTAACCCCCAAGATTGACTTTAGTGACCCCATAAAAACGAATTATGTTAGGATGGCTGACTTTGTGCAAAATTTTGATCTGAATTTGCAAATATAATAAAATATATACAGTATTAATATATTATCTACAACCTATTGCACTCATGTTAATTTTTAAATATATTGATTAACGCATTTAAATAATAACATTCTGGCGGATTGGCGGAGTTGGGCCTTTATTTAGATACTTTAAATTTGAACCCTAAATTTACAAACAAAGTATAAAAATGATTAATTTAGGGTCGAATTAAAAGGGCCCATTCCGCCGATCCGCCAGAATGAAACGGCCTTGGATCTTAAAAAATTTATGCTCAAGTCAATAAATTAAAAATTAAAATATGTTCCAATATCGTATTAAAATTAATTTGATATGTAGTCCTGAAATTTCTTTTTCAATAAGTCCTTCTAAAAAGCTAGTCATCGCCTTTTTTTGAATTTAAGAAGTGAATTGATGTCTTGATATTAACACAGTCTAATTATATACCTGTACCCTGAACACAACGATTAAATTAGGCAGTACTAATACTAGTATTCAGGAATTTAGATAATTCCAGACGATAGTATGAATAACAGATATTTACACGAACTATCCGATTACAGGATTATGCATATTAAAGATTATTCAAATTTCCTGAATGAAAATGGATAAGCACAAAATTGTACGTATAAAGAAAGAACATGCACGTACGAAAATAGGGTTATTACACGATGTACAAATTGAGGAGACAAGGTATGACAATAAACATAAAAAATATATAAAAACTGAAATAAAGTTTCGTTCTAATCAAATATATATAATAACACATTCGTAAACTTTAAATTTTTTGTATCGTAATTATGGAAACCGTTGCTAAAACTACTGTTGAAATATTAGCACTTTATAATCCAATAGCCGCTACGATAAACATTATAGCCAAAGAAATTTATCAAATTTGTGATGATGCGGAATGTAACCAGAAAATTTGTTCAATTATGTCGAATCGGGTAAAAGCAGCAGAAGATGTCATGGATATGATTATAAAATCTATAGGGAAGAATGAGAAAGAATTTCGTCAAAAAAAATATTATTTAGCTTTTAAAAGTTTTGAAAATGTTTTGAGAAATATGAAAGATTATACTGAAAAAATATCAAAGCTTAAAGGTTATAAAATTTACCTTAATGCAAAAGAGGTTAAAAGTAAATATGAAAGGTTAACTCAAGAATATGATATGTGTATGAGAGATCTACATCTTGCTATTGATGTTGCGAATAAAGTGTCCAGAGATGAAGATGCTCGAAAAGTCGATAAATCTTTAAAAGACATTGAAAATGTATGTATAATTATTTGTAATATTATTGACTTGTTAAATTTTTTAATATTATTTTATCATTATGCTTGTTCATTTTTTAGACTCTTAACAATAAACTTGACCCAATAGCCAAAAGTGTAGACTTTATGAAATCACAAATAGATAAAAGTAGTTTCCACGCGGATAGGATTAAAATAAGTGATTTAAATGATCCTGTCGTTCCAACTAAAGATGATATTCGTGGTCATGTCGTTAAAAAAATTTATTATTTGAATCAAGTTGCTTGTAAACCCATTAAAGCATCCAACCAATATGAACATGAATTAGCAATTCTCGGAAAATTAAGTCAAACAGACAATATTCTTCGTTTCTATGGTCTTTCAAATGTTGATAATACGGAGGTTATGGTATTTGAATGGGCAGAATATAAAACTTTAAAAGAACTCTATGATACTTATGATATTCCTTGGACTAGAAAAATACAAATTGTTCGTGATATCTTTCGTGGTCTTATCTTTTTACGTAGAGTGGATATATTTCATCATGATGTTAGATGTGAAAATATTTTTGTAAGTATTATACAATCAATAAAATTATCAAATTAAGGTCAAAAAACAACTTATTAATTCAATAAAATTATAGATGCTCCATAGCTTAGAAGCAAAATTGGGAAATTTCAAGTGTGCTCGTGAGGTAAATAAAGAAGCTAGGGATCTTAAAGATATTGCACCAGATATTATTCGTTGGATGGCCCCTGAACAGATAGAGAAATATGTAAAGAATGCCAAAAAGGGTTATACATTTCAATGTGAAATGTTCAGGTATTGAATGATTCTTAACGTTATTACAATTCACTTAATTTTTCATTTTAATAAATCATTATTTTTCACGATTAGTTTTGGAATGCTTATTTGGGAGCTTTGTTATGAAAAACTACCTTATCTTAAATGGGACATTAAAAAAATATCAAAACATGTTTTGGAAGGTAAACGAGAAAACCTTTTACGTGGAAAATTTGAAAACCCTAAGGACGCAGAGATTCAATTAGAATTTATCAAAATAATTAATAAAGGTAATTCTATCTGGATTTTTTTTTGTTTTAGCTTTTATTACAATGATCTTTAATTTATTTCATGTTTAATCAAATTGCTGTAATAGCATGGCACCATATACCAAATTATCGAGTGAAAATTGATGTGTTAAATTTTATGCTTGAAGAATTGGCAGTAAATTATCCAATTCCTCCAGGAGAACCACTATTATTAAAAAATAAAACTCTAAAGTTTGAGGGAGAAGATGAATCATTTGACCTATTAATACCTCTTGAAAAAGGAATCCAATTTCATAAAAATAAAGATCATAAAAAAGCATGGCAGTGTTTCGAAGAAAACGCTAAACTTGGCAATAAAGAAGCAAAATATTGGAAAGGGTATTATTTATCTAACGGATATGGTGTTGTTGATGTAGATCAAAAGCAGGCTATGGAACTTTTTGACGAAGCCGCTGAGATTGATTATTCTGATGCACGGTGTCGTTATGCGGTTTTATTGCTTTCTAATCTTAGAAAGGATGATGATGAAGCTACTAAAAAAGAAAATATTGATAAAATTCTACATTATTTTACATTATCATCTACTCATGCTAATTATGAAGCAATGTATTATTTGGGGGATATACATGTTAAAGGGAAACTTAGGGTTCCAAAAAATAAAGAACTTGGGTTAGTATATTTAAAATTAGCTGCAAATAATCCTAATAGCATGCAGAAAGAAGCGATTAAATTATTAAAAGAGTTGGGTGAAAAACATTAGTCGTTATATATAGTCATATTTTATTTTTTGTACATTTTTGATATATACTATTAGCGAAAGAACAATCTATGTGAATTGTATAGAAACACAAACTATCGATTAAATAAAGAGAGAGCTTCTCAAACATCATAATAAAGCAACGCAGTTATAATGATTCACTTTTCCTTATTTTAAATGATTATTGATGTTCAAACTACATAGATTTCAAACCAGTCGTTATAAAATTTACTACATGAAATTATATAACATCCAATTAATAGTAATCAATATCGACATGTAAGATTTTAACAAGTAAAATATTTATTCAGCCATTGACTATACTTATTAGTCACTATCGTTGATGAGTATTTTACTATCATGAGATAAAAACTTTTTGATACAATTTCGCTATCATAAAACATTTAATTGTTCAATAATTATGCAAACTCGTCTGGTAAAAATTAATCCTACTATAAAAAAGTCTCAAAAATATGCTTCCTACACCATTTAGCAATTAACTACGCTTCCAACATCATTTAACGATTACAACATCATTTAACGATTACAACATCATTTAACGATTACAACATCATTTAACGATTACAACACCATTTAACGATTACAACACCATTTAACGATTACAACACCATTTAACGATTACAACATCATTTAGCAATTACAACATCATTTAGCAATTACATCATTTAGCAATTAACAACAATGGTTTCATATGGTACTAGCTTAACGTGTTCTTCTAAATCTTCTATGAGTTTATCCCAACTAATGACAGATCCATTAAGATCTCCTCCGTATCTGCCCATAAACTTAGATCCATTTTCGCACACCTCATATAAAGATGCATTCACTTCATCCGGTGCCCCTTTTCGTGTCCAAAATTTGATTAAC